GATTTTAAATTCCGTCTCTAATATTTCTTTCATTTATTATCAATTATGTGCGTAAAAGTAAACAAATAATATTTGGTATAGTTGGTAAGAGTATCAATATTTGACATTGAGGTCACGGGTTTGACTCCTACTAACAGTAATATTGCATTTGAGATTCAAAGAGCGTTACATGGAAAGCCGAATCGGGTTGACCCGAGTGAGGTCGACCCAAATAGCAGCTTTTTTTTCGATTCAATTTTTTTTTTTCCATCTCTAAATTCATTTAGCGACAAGGCTTTTACCAACGGAGTGATTCCGTGGATAAATCCGTAGCTAGCTATGTCCAGCGACGGATTTTTAGCAATTAGCAACGGATTTCACCTGTTGCTAAAAGGCGAAATTTTTATAGTGAATTGTGTATCACTCATTTATGGGTGAAATAAACTCATAGGAATGGAGCCTCAGAATCAAACAGTCAACCTTCAATGATACGATTAGTCACTCACTCACATTTGAAAATGAGCACCTCATCATTGAATGGTCACCTTCTTAAAAAAATATGCATATTATTAAGGTTACAAAATTCGTTTAATTATAAGATTACAAGTAATGATCTAGAACACAATCAAGTATCAATATATGTTGGTATGTAATTAATTAATTAATCATATCGTGCTAACTATGCAACTCTCACATAACCTGAATTCGGGGATTAATTATGGGAGGTTGGGTTCAGTCCCTTCCCTACTGTTGTTGTGGGGAGTAGAACACGGATCCTCCCTTTCAGGTGCAGTTCCAATCCACCACTACACCAACAATCAATTGGTATTGTGTTACCTTACTCATACTGGTCATACAGACATACAGTGGCTACACACTTGATATTTTTAAGATTTTGAAGAAACATGGAATATTTTTTGAAAAACTTTTATGCCTGAAACAATGCCTTAGAATATATGTGGTTATAAGCCTTCTTAACCACTTTTAACCTTATCTTACTTTGAATATAATTATTGGAGAAATACCAAACATATATTTATATGATGTTGATCTTTTGATGCAAAAATAGGAATTTGCTTTTGTTCAACCTATTTTACAGGCTGCCGTAAACGTTAGTCGAGCATTGTCGCATATGTGCTATTCTCCACGATACGAACAACCTGCTAACGGCATGTGTCACCCTTAATTATTATTTAGTGCAATAAGTGTGCAGTGGCGGAGCCAGGATTTGTAATACGGGGGGACAAATTTCAAATGTTTAATAAATCGACAAAATTTTTTGATAACATAATTGCTTAATATGTAATTAAAATCGCATATGAAATATGACGAATATTCTTATATGACAAAAGAGGAGTGGTTAAAAGATTCATTGCATATATATTAAGAAAATTATCAACCAAAAAAATAATTTTTTGTTGGTAAACCCCAATTTTAAGTTATGTAATAAATATGATTAATCAAATAACAAGCATTTAAATAAATTGATAATAGATATAAAGAGATTTGAGTTACATTCGAAAAAAATAAACACAACTTTGTTTGACTATTGAAATTATTACAATGTAATCTATAAAGTAAAATTAGTTCCAAACAATTACAAAAAATAATAAAATAGAATTTAAGCGCACATAATTAAAGAGATGAAAAAATTACGGAAATATGTATTCATCAAAAGATCATATATAGTCGAATAACACATTAGTAATCATTATCAACAAGGCAGTACGCCGGTACTTGATTAAATAGCTAAATGAGAGTAGTTAGAGGTTTGAAGATTTATAATACTGTACTTTAAATATACGAAGTATATATCATACACTATATAACGAAATCCAAATACAAGTAAATAAAAAGGAAAAATCCAAAATCAAGAAAAAAAAGTTAAATGGGAGCACTTTGTATAAACTATAAAATGAAATAAAAAATTCTCAAAAGAGGAAAAAGGAATTTAAATTAAATAAAAATATGTATTTGTGAAGACTCGATCCTAAAAATGAAGGAAGAAACAAGCCCTATTCTAAGCCCTACAACCACCAAACCATATTCAGCCTTTATGGTACTAGTTGCACATATAATATATATATTGTTATTTACTGAAGCTGTTTATGCTTACAAAAATAATTTTTTTATTTTTTTTTTTAAAAATGGGGGACAGTTGTCCCCCCATGTTCCTATAGTGGCTCCGCCACTGCAAGTGCGACATGTATCATCTTATGTGTATCATTTTTTTTCTCACTACATTGAATTCTGTATGTAGTATTTAATGTGTAGTTAATTAATATTACTCTATAACTTTAAAACTTTATTCTCTATAATAATATTTAATTTTCATAAAAAGCTTTTCATATGTATAAAACCTCCATTTTTAAATTTGACATGCATATATTTTAAGTATATATATTAATAAAAGATAATATAGATTATTATATTTTTCATCAATCACTTTATTATAATCTATATTGTTTAACATTAACTATTTTAATTAATTTTGATCAAACTTAATTATAAATACGATGTACCGAGACATCGCCCGGGCCAATAACTAGTTTAGTAATAAAAAAAAGAACACGTACAAAAATGTATATTTAGTAATAAAAAATAAACATGTAAAAAAATGAATATTTAGTAATAAAAAATGAACACGTAAAATGAAGAATATTTAGCGCTATAAAGTGAATATGTTAATAAAATGAACATTTATTATTTAAAAATGAGCATGATTATTATATAATCAAAGGATGACTAAATCACTCTATAAAATGAACATTTAGTAAAAATTAAGATTACGTAAAAAATTGACCATTTAGTAATAAAAATAAACATGTTAAAATGAACATTTAGTAATAATAGGGTGGCTAACGTGTGCGATGCGCGCGTCATAGCTAGCGTAAATTTAGTTATCACAAATTGGCCGGAAGGTCTTTCGGTTTGGCCTTACATCACAAATTTAGTTGTTAGTACTTAGTAGCATTAATAAGGGAAAGTATGTAAACAAATATTTGTAGGGGTAGAAATGTCCGCACACTATTGTCAAGAGTTTAAAAAATAGCTAATTAGCATTAATGGGGGTAATAAAGTATATAAACATTTTAGAGGATATAATTGTCTACACATTATTCATAAGAGTTATCTCATAAGGAAAGGAAAAAAGTGGAAAAAAAAAAAATATGAACATTTAATATTAAAAATGAACATGATTATTAACTTGTAAAAAGAAAAAATGATTATCGAACAATAATAGAATAGTTGATATATGTTAACCGAAATTAAGATTCACACTTGGTCAACTTCATCATCATGCCATTTTATCATCAAAGAATTTGTACTTTAAAAATCATAGTACAAATGAAGTAAACAATTAATTAGATATTATTTTTATAGCTAAAAATTTAGAACAAAAGGTTCACAATAGACTAATAAGGAATAATATATACTTATCGTAGTAATTAATTTTTATATAATAGATGATAACACGAAGTAATACTTCGTACGTACATATATGCTAACACGTAAATACATAATAAGCTAGTAGAATTTTCACTCGTGTTCAAGCAGTCTTATTTTAAAAGTAAGTATTCGATTGAAAGTGTAATATTATTAGGCCATGAAATTGATATTTATATATGTAATCAAAATCAACAACCAATATTGCCTAATGAAATATTGCCAGTGGTTTGTTGTCCACATTGATTGTTATGGTTACCACCAATGGAATCAATATCAACACCACCGGATTTCACCTTGCTATTTCCGACTTTGATGTCTCCATTCTTTTGTATGCCGGAATGGTTAACGTCACCCCCGGAATAGAAGCCGCCTCCATACCCGTGGTTCGGGATGAATTGTGGAGGACAAACTTGCTGCTGAGGACACCCTTGAGTTGGAGGGGGAGGATAGCATTGCATGTTTGCAAATTAGTTTGGAAACTTTTGGTTCTATTTGGTGTATGTATGTGTTTTTTTGTTTGTGAGTTTGTTTATTTGTATTAGCTAGGTCTACTCTTTTATAGAGAAGTCAAGGGGCCACTAGGTATGCACCTGATTCTCAAGGAATAACCCCCTTTGCCCTTTCATATCTTTAGTAGGTTTGAGATAGGATGCTAGAGTAGTTGGCTAGTTCTCCTACTTTCAGGCGTGAAGCCAAGGGTCGAATCTCACCAAGCGCATTCTAAGAGGAATTTCCCTTTCGATGGGCCTTCTTCTTACCATAAAAAATAAAAAGTATCTATAGTGGGTCCTCAATCATGTTAAGACTTTTAGAGCACAAGAGGGGGAGATTGAGAGAGTTTACGTTGTCAAATTATAGAGCCCTATGTTAGCAAAAATGACAATGATACGTCAAGCTAGTTGGAGAATCAAGATTATGCTTGCTCTTTTTGTGTTCTAGAATCAAGATCATGGCGTTTGATTGTTTCTACCCTCAAAATTTTTCTGATTAAAGGTACATTAGCTAACACAATTATTGTACAAGTATTTCTATAACAAATTCCTAATATTTCATATAAACGTGGCGTAAAACAATTGCGAGTATTTACAAATTGAGGGATAGTATATGAAACGAATTTTGTCAACTATATAAACATTAAAGTAGGCATCTCTTTGAGGGAATTCTAAAGCGAGCATCTTAAAAGTAAATATCCTTTGAATCACTAGCACAGGTTAAACGTTGTGCAAATTGCGGAGGTACTTAATTTTAGTTTATGTATTAACTTGGATTAATTAGGCGTGTTTAACATTGATATAATTCACCCTTTTTTAATCGAGCACCTGGCACCGGATTTTTTCTTAATATTGCAAATTTCAAGTTTAGTTTCAAAAGTAGTTGCTCATGATTCATGGTACAGTATTTCTTTTGTTCTTCCTATTAACTATTTAACTGGCCAGGATTACCGAATCAGGAATCAGGACTTAAGAGTCAGCCCGAGCACGGTTCTAATCAGGGCAGCTAGTTTGTTAATCGGGACGTAGTTGATAAACAGAAATGCAAACAAAAAAACTCACTTTAAGCAGCAACAGAAGTATGAGAAACATTTGTAGTTGTATATAGTAAGAATTGTGAATATTATGCAGAAATTGGTAAAGTTCCTATTACTGAGGAGCAAAATGCAATTTAGCTTTCTCAGTTCACTAACAAAAGAAGTTTACCTTAAATGCGCATTTTTCACAAACTCTGATCGGACTGTCGGAGACATCACGTAGCCATCGTATAAGTATTCATTAATCTACAACAAGGCGAGAAACAAAACAGACACCCAGTTCTCTGTCTACTACACAATTGAAACAGAGATCTTCATGGTTCTAGCATGTTTGCCCAAAAAATATTTTAAAGAATGATGACCAGTTTCTCAAGCAATTTTTTGCACTTTACGATGATAAGACAGCTTTCAGGGCATCCTTTATGTAGGCATACTTGAAAGAGAAACCTAATTCCTTGGCTCTTGTAGGAAGAACCTTCTGCCCTTCCAAAACCTGCGAGGGGCCAAGAGCAAATGAATGAATGATGAGTCTTTTGTTTCCTTTCGTATACCATTACGAATCAGCACAAATAGCAACCCGGAGAGGAAGTAATGAACAGGCGCACGGGAGCCAGAAGGAAGAAAAAACTTACTACGGTAGCTCCTTCTCCAAGAACTGCCTTGAGTGCGAAGTCTGGTACTGGGAGCCATGAGGGTCGGCCTAAGGCATTTCCAAGATGTTGGCACATCTCTCCTAGTCTAACAGGGTTTGGAGCAGTTCCATTGATAACACCTGAATTTTAAATGACATCCACTGTTTAGTACACCAAAATTTTCAACTAAGCCGCATGAGATAAGTTACACGACCTAGCTCCTAAATATCAATTGCACATCATCAAATACAGAACAAAAGCTTCATATATAAAGGCTGAATCTTATTTTTGGCTATAATAAAGGACTAATGATAAGAGTCATAAGACGGTATTATTTTTGGCTATAAGCAGTCAAGATATAATTATGATACAGATTTAAAGCCCAAGTAAAAAAGAATATAACCTTCATAACTCGAATTTACTAGAGCTTCGTAAATCAGATTTACAATGTCATCCAAATGGATCCAGGAAAACCTAATATAACAAAGAAAAATCACTGTTTTTTGAGAGCATTACCATTTATGTATAAAAAGGATTAAGGGAGTGAAGATAGGAGTAAACTTTATACCATTGTTTTCCAGTCCCTATAGGTCCACCAGCAAACATCATGAAAAGGGGGATCATCTTGGCTGCAGATAATTGAAGAAAAGTCAAGATCAGTTGACTATCGCATAAATCTTTTACTCAGGAATGATGCAAGGAAAAAAGATTCATTAGATAATGCTCTTGAGAGAAGCTCAGCTGAAATGATAACACCAGTTTCTAATGATGAATGAGTACCTAGAGCACCGCCATCCTTTCCTAGAACCACCCCAATGCGAATACGTACTAGCCTTACATCCTTGTTGACTTTCAGTGCCGAGGCCTCCCATTCTCTACAAACCTGAAGAATGGTTTATCAATATTAGGTACATGATGTATATAAGGATAAATTAAACAATATCCTTGAGAATGCAGGGGAAGGAAGACAGAATTGCTTATCACGATTAGGTAAATGCATGTCAGTAAGGATGATCTACCACATCCTAAAAGATGCAGTGGGGAGGAGGCAGAAAGGTACTCAGCATTCACAGCCACAAACTTCTAATGCATACAAAATCATCCTTATCTCATGAAGACAAGAAGTGCAAGGCGCCCAGATTTCAACTTTCAGAGGAGTTAGTCTCTGAGACCAATGTTGCACCTGGATCCAACATTATGCAAGAAATTCCATTCCAAAGGCTAAAATCAAGCATATTAGACCCTAGATGGCAAATCTTAAGAAAATTGCAGACAACTTTTATCCTCAACACTAAAATCCAACAATGTGTTGTAGATAGGCCAATTCTAAAGGATACATCTTAAAGTTAAACATATATAAACCCCCAACTCCAGGACAACAGGAGAAATTTTTAATGGAATTTGAAAGACTTCCACGACAATGGTCAGGATCAAAGGTAGAAGATAGTTTCCAGTCAGACATGGACAGCTAATTCCAAAAAGAGAACACTTAGACCCTAGACCCAGAAATTGAGAGAGACTTCCCTTGGCTGCCTCATGTCCAGAGCCCAATAATAAAGGTTTACCACAAGCTTATACTCAGTTGAAGAGCATGGGAAATTCTCAAAAAATTGAAAATAAAGTCTTTAAGGATTGCATCTAATGGCCTCAAACATCAGTTACACCAGGCTGGAAAGCTGCTGACAAGTAACCATCATATTTTTAAATATTGACTCATCATGAACTACCACCACTAAATAATATCTGTTTCCTTGCATATTCTTAAAGAGTTAAGACGATTCCACTTAAGTTGGATTTTCTGTTTAAAAAACTAAGGGATTCTAAAAGCAATAAAGCACTCGTATTTTACAAGGATCTAATACTACAGAGGCTTGTGAGATGGCTAGAATAAAACCACATGCTTCTTATGCATTGTCATCAAACAAATTGCTGCATTTCAAAAACAATCAAAAGGGAACCGAAAATTCATCCTTGGAACATGCTAGATACCAAGCAACAACAATATTAGAGTCTTAAATCCAAAAATATGGTTCACAAGTCTTACAACTTGATGCATCTATCCTTAATAGCATGAAATAGCACATAATCAATGTTATATTATTCACCTGAGCCAAGTAATCATTTCCCGATGGACTTTTCTCATCAAATATTTGCGTCTCACTTGTGCCTAGGTATTTAAAATATTAAGACATAAGAAAACATTATAAGCACCATACCAAGCACAAAGGAGATGCAACATACAAAATAATAAGTATGATATTGAGCCCAGTGGAGATGCAATATACAAGTACATAATATGCCAAGACAATGGTTTGTCAGACTGACCATAATAACCAACTGCTGTTGCACTGACCAGAACAGAAGGCCTGCTATCAGGTTGCAAGTCATTTATTAGCTCTACAACCTTCAGAAAGGAAAAGAATGTCACAATTAAGAAGGAATGAAAATGGTATAGCAACCTTTTAGATCCTATAATAAACAGAAAAGGCGATATGCAATTTTACTTCTCCAAGAAAAAACAAGAAGGAAGCAATTTGCAGATGAAAATATACTGAAGGGGCTAACCTTAGAAGTGACCCTTATTCTGCTTTCCTTGATATCATTCTTGATCTGTTATAGAGGAAAAGAAATTGCAATCAACTATTTTAAGGTCTGGACTGTATTTCAGATAGAGATCTTGTGTTGCACTTCTTTAAATATGGTAATAACAATATTAGGTTTGAGACTCACTGATGAGCTAAATAAAGATCCTTCTTTTGGATTTAATGGTAGAGGACATTTATGTATATTGACAGTGAATGGAATTAAATCATACTCGGAATCCTGATGACTGTGAAACTAATACAGTAATACATGTAGCCATATAGGTGTACTGAGGCTACTAATACATACCTCTGATGACCACCTTGTACTGATAGGAGTACCAGCCAGATTTACAACAGCATTTGAATCTCGAATACTCTCTTTCCACTGTGGTTCCTCTGCAACCACAATTCCTGGGAACTTGTTGACTGCAGATGAAAAAAGTAAAAACAAGGATAACTGGATAAGTATAGTCTTTTGGAATTTCTTGTCAAAAAAAAAAATGTCTTTTGGAATTAAGAACAACAAAATCGGTTATTTGTTATAGGACGTAAACTCTAAGATTAATATTCAAAAGCTGTGCACACACATTTAGTATACATTATAGGCATTATCATTACCTTCTTACCGGGAAATATTTGCTGAGCTTTAGATTTGGATCGCGTTAAGACACGAACTTGATGTTTATCTGAAGTAATAATAAGAAGGAAATTAGCCCCAGTAACTCATAACCATTGCCCCACGTGCAGGACAGAGAAAACCAGCTGTGATATCTTTGATAACAGAAAAAATATATGAATTCAGCAAATAGTCATAAAAACATTATATGAATTCAGCAAATAGTCTGTTGTTGTCCATAACATTGTTACGCGCAGTACAAAGCCAAATGTGTTTAGGCCTTTAGGTAGAATTACTCTTAGCAAATAGTTCCTAAGTCTTAGCCATCATAATCATCACTTTTACAAAACGTCCTTAAACCTCAACTTGTTTCTTATTCATGTTCATCCATAGTACTAAGACCCACTGCCAACTAAATAACCAATCACTTAATCTACATGAGAATGATCGCTTAGCTATTCGAGCAAGGACTATATTGTAGCAACCTAGACAAGCCATAAAGGCTCCTACTTTCAACAAAATTAAACAGTGAAATGTCCAAATATAGCACCCAAAACTATAAAAATTCAACTCAACATGTAAAAAATCAAAAGAAATAATCATTATCAAGATACAAAGCCAATACAATACACATTCATTTGATTACCTTCTTGTAATCTTTGAACCAATCGCCTGCCAATAAAACCAGTAGCCCCTGTTATTGATACAACCATCTGATTGCCCTATGATTATGAACAAATAAAATATATCAAATGAATTTCTGAAGAAATATATGCTTTATAAGCTACCTTATGTAATACTATTTCACATTCTACTATCACTTTGAATTCATTTAGCCACTCCAGCTATTAATCTTCCCCAATTCCCTAATGTAAAGTATAATTTAAATGGTTATAGTCTAGGGGTTAGTATCAAAAACCTAAGATCAAACTCAGTCAACATCACTTTAGTTGCAACTCCCAATCCACCAAACATAAGAATATCTTACAAGAAAGAAGATTATGATAATCATAATTTGAATACAATGTAAATGCCAATCACAAATTAATCATCAAAATATCATGAACCAACAATAACCAATATCAAAGAAAATAATACACTCATAATTGAAGAATTATGAAAAATGCAGTACCTTGGAAGATGGGTCAGACCCATTTTCTTTGCTGAGACACCATAAACTTAACTTTCTGGTCTCGAAACCCTGAAAAAAATGGGCAAAACTAAGACAATTAATAAGCTTGAAATTGGATTAATTTACAAAGAAAGACAAAATTTTGGAACCTGGGAATTAGAGGAAATGTGAAAAGAAGGGGGCTTAGAGATTGATGTAGTCCAAGACAAAGGATTTGTGGCTCTGAAAACCTCCATTGATGCTCTGCAATACCAAACCAAGCTCCAATTTTTATTTTATTTTTAGTATTTTTGAGTGTCTATAAAATTGAGGGAACATGAAGAAATTGAAGACGATGAGTCGATGATGCGTCGTGTTGTTTATTCCTCGTGTAAGAATTTGAGCCACAACGGTTTTTGATCAATATCTTTTGGATTATCTACTTGTTATTTTTGTTAATTGGACCTTGGATCCATTTCTTTAATAACGCTACTCCGTTTTTTTCAGCCTAACTCCGAATTAGGGATGGCAATATTAAGTGGATATCCACAAACCCGCTCCACCCGCTATAAATATATGGACGAAAACCCGAATTAAATGGATGAAAAGCCGGTGACGGATGAAGCGGGTGATGGATCAAATCGGATGTGGATGATACTTTTTTCATCCGCTAACCATCCACCCACCTATTTAACATATATTAGATTTTTTAATTTAAGAATTTTAATAATAAAATATGAAATGTGCAAGAAAATTACTTATTTTTTATGTTGCAAATTAATTTTTCAAACATATATTGTTATTGTTTCATTTTTAATTAATAAAATAAAAAAAAATTATTGTACAAATAACCGAATTTAGAGTTTATGTGAGTTTTTTTTCCATTTTAATACTTATCCATTAATCATCCGCTCCACCCGTTTCATCCGCGGATGATGGACGGACGGATATGGATGATGGGTGAAGCGGATGATGGATGGATATGGATGGAGTGATTAAAGTAATGGATGGATGCGGGTGAAGCTCCACCCGATCCGAATCCGATTCATTGCCATCTCTACCCCGAATACTGACGCTTGAGAGTAGAGGGATACGTAAGGAAATCCCTCTACTCCCGAGCATCATTTTGTAGTTGGTGAGACTCAAATTAGTAATTTTAAAGTCACAATGTGATTTTCCCACCAATTTCATCAAGTTTTGCTTAGTAACTTCCGTACTATTGCTATCAGATAAGCTAAACTCACCGTGTTTTAATAAGTGTTACAGTTTGACCTGCACATAGTGTAACACTTTTTAAAACACGGAGAGAGTAGTTTTCATTGAAGTTTTGGTGTGTCACATTCTCATTTTGACACTTTTATTTTCTTATATGGAGTATCAATTATCCGTGTCACATATCTTGTATGACACTACGCTCTGGTATGAACAATGTTATTTATAGTGCTAATAAAATCCCAAAAGACAAAGATTTATACAAGTACAAATTTTGATCACGTGTTTCTAATCAAAATCCTTTAAAAGTGTCAAATACTACCTCCGTTTCATATTATTTGCGACAATTTGACATTTTTTTCTCTCTAATTTATGTTAAATTGTTGCAAATAGCCAATTAATATAAAACAGGGGTAATATTAACTCATGCTCAAGTGTAAGACACACTCATTTATGTTCATGCATCTTAGTGTCGTATGGACTATGGACTATGGAGTGCCCATATTTAAATTCAAGTATCAAAATATAAGTGAAAAATTATATAATTAGAACGCATCCGACTATAAACTTCTATCATATAAACTTCTATCAATATAGCTAGCCTATTTACGACGATGACCTTTTTTTCTTTTTAAGAAACACCTATCGGATATCATTAAAAAAAAAAGGTCAATTTTTGCTGAACTCAACATGTTAAAAACCAAAAGAACTATGATGACCATTTACATTGTGAATTATATATAAGAAAATAATTTATTTATTTATTTTTCTTTTTATTTACCTTTTTTTTTTTTTGGTGAAAGCAAACAATCATATTATTCATATACTAAATAACACATGTATGCTATCCATTACTTGGCATTCAAAATGATGATTGATGATCATTTATAATTGTGAATATGTAAGCAAATAATAATATAGGTATATAAAACTTCTTGATTCAAGTATTACTTACTAATTATGTAAGAGATTTTTTTATCATTATTAATACTCCGTAATAAACAATTTTATAACACCTTAAATGTTTCTAATACGGTACCCTGTATTCCAATAACATCCATAATTAAACTCGTGTAATCGTAGTTTAACCAACACCAATGTTTTCCACCCTTATGCGATGTCGATTTGATCATGTGTAGTACACTAGAGTTGTTATTTGAGGGGTTAGTTGAAATGTTCCAAATGTTGAGATCCCTAAGGTAAGGGACAAAGCTCATGATATATTGATGATGATGCATATTTCTCTCTCCTATTTGTATTTGTACTGCCAGATTAAATTGAAAGGCAAGTAGAAGTACTGCCTTCTAGGAACCACAGCACCAGCCTGGGCTACAAAAGGCATGCCATTAAAGATCCTCCTCTTTTTCCATATCACTTCCTCCTTTTTTTTAGTACTATTATGACCTCTATTTTATTTTATTTTTTATCATGTAAAAATGTCTCAATTAATTGTATGTACAATATATATGTATTGTTTGGGTCCAATTTAGTTCAATTGGGCCTATTCATTAAATGATCCAATTAAAAGCCCAAGGTCAAGGTTCAACTCTCCACTTGTGCTAAAGTCAAAGATCAGTCCTCAAGGCAAGTCCATTTAGGGGTGGCAAAAACTGACCCGACCCGAAAACCCGACCCGAACCCGACCCGAAAATAGCGGGTTAGGGTTGAGAATTTCGACACGAAAACTTAAATGGGTTGACACGAACCCGACCCGAAATTAAATGGGTTAGGTTAAGGTTGAAAATTTCAACCCGAAAATGACCCACGTAACCCGAAATTATTTTCGGGTCAAAATCAGGTCGGGTCAACCCAAACCCGACCTTATAACCCGAAAAAGTGTTTTAAAAAAAAAAAAAACTAGGCCCAAGCCCAAATTGAGAGGCAAACCTCTGAAAACTTAAACCCTAAAATTTTAACCTAAGCCGTTTTCATCTTTTCACATTTTCTCTCTCCTCAATTCTTTCGTTCTCCCACTCCTCTTCTTCTGAGCTTCTCTCTCTGAATTCTCCATTCTCAATTTCTCATCTCATAACTCTCAAGCTCTCAATTTCTCAAGCACAGTCATAAGAACTCTCAAGTTCTCAACTCTCAAGCTGATTAGCAAAACGTCTCACGGTCTCAAACTCTCAAAGGTAATTTTTTGTTAATTTTTTTTTGTTTTCATTTCGTTTTTTTTTCGATTCCTAAGTTCTGAAGTTCTTCTCGATTTTCGCTTTCGATTTGTTGTTAATTTCTACTGTTAATTTGTTTTCGATTTTTGCTTTCGATTTGTTGTTAAGTTCTTCTCGATTTTTGCTTTCGATTTGTGGTTCTTCTTGATTTTTGCTTTCGATTTTTGTTTTCGATTTTTGCTTTCGATTTTTGCTTTCTACTGTTAATTTGTTTTCGATTTTTGCTTTCGATTTGTTGTTAATTTCTACTGTTAATTTGCTTTCGATTTTTACTCTTAAGTTCTTCTCGATTTTTGCTTTCGATCTCTAAAATCTGAAGTTCTTCTCGATTTTTGCTTTCGATTTGTTGCTTTCGATTTGTTGTTAATTTCTACAGTTGATTTGTTTTTTTTTTAAGGGAAAGGGTAGATCTGCAATTCTCCATCTTCAAATCTTTCACCTTCATCTTCAAATCTTCCTCTGTTTCTAAGGTAATTTTCTGTTTACTTTTTCGTTGTTTTTTTTTTAAATTTTTTTTTTATTTCAAGTTTTTGTATTCGATTGTGTTGATGTTCTTAGTTAATAATCGTAGTATGATAAATTTTTTGCTGATTTGTTGTTTGACTGGAAAAAATATTGTGCATGTCTTTTTAATTTTTGTTTTCGCTGATTTGTTGGTGATTTGTTGTTCTTGATATGCTGATTTGTTGTTGATTTCTTGAAAATTTTTGTTGCTTTCTTACTGATTGTTCTTGCTGTTTTGGTTGTTTTTCCTGAGATGTTGATGATTTGTTGTTCTTGCTGATTTGGTTGTTCTTGAGTTGTCTTTTTAATTGTTTTATTGTTATATTTTTTTTGCAGCAGTTATGGACACCCATGAGGCCATGACCCATGTACAACAGCTTTCTTCTGGGAGTATGAGATGATTCAGGAGATTGTTACTTTAAATACATTTGTTTCTTTGTAATTGTGGTTTGTAATTTATTTGTTAAGACTTTATTTTGGTATGTAATAGTTAATTAGGCATTTAGAATTTTAGACTTGTTAGAGTGCTAGACTTTATTTGGTTTTCTTGAAAACTTTAAGTTTGAAAATCATGTTTGAAAACATTAGGTAAAAAAAAAATCAGGTTTGATTAACTGTTAAGTAGTCAAAAACTCAAAATCAGGCTAAAAAATCAGGTTATTCAGGTCAAATTTTTTTTTTTTAAAAAAAATAAATAAATAATCAGGTCAAAATCAGGTCGTTTTCGGGTTGACCCGAACCCGAAAATATCAGGTTCAGGTTGGGGTTTTCAACCCGAAAACTTAAATGGATCAGGTTCAGGTTGGGGGTTAGCTGACCCGAAACACGAAAACCCGAACACGAACCCGACCTGATCTGATCCGTTTGCCACCCCTAAGTCCATTGGGCTAAGGCCCACCTTCTCCATATATGAAAAGGTATAAAAGCCATCAATATTACATTTGTACATAAATTCAACAAAGCCTCAAGCAATTAATTTTCTTGCATAGTGTTCTCTTTCTACACACTGTACTGACTTTAGCATCGGAGGGGCCTTCCTCGGCAACACCCCCGAGGCTAGTTTACGTGTGTTTACTGTGCAGGAAACCTTCGGCCCAACATCACTTGGACCGAATCCAGTCTTCTTCACTTCATCGGACCTTCGACAAGGTCCCATTGTTTTCACCCGAAACAATTTGGCGCCGTCTGTGGGGAAGACTTTCAAAAAATCTTTAAGCCAAATTTCTAACCAAGATCATCTTGCAATTATCTTAGTAGCAATGGCTAAGAACCGCAAGAGCAAGGGCCTCCGTCAAGGAGCAGGCGAAAAGCCTAAAACCCCTACACCATCACCCTCACCGGACCGGAACTCTCCCAAGGGTGCCAGCTCGGGGCGAGGATCATACAGGGAGGATTCCCTTTCTCCCGTAATTCATAATTCTCATCATAGGCCGAGTCACTCTCGGTCTAGCAGGGGTCAATCCGATCATAGGACGCATTCAGTGCCCCAAAGCCAACCATCGACCGTCCGCTCTCATTCCCATACTCAGCCGAGGACCCCTTTGACGGGGCCCAGCTCGGAGGAGGTGGCAA